ATGTTTCTCAATTTTGGGTTTATGTGAATTTTCTCATGATTATACTGGGTTACGGCTTTTGGGGAAGAATACCACAATGGAGAAGTGCGTCTTATTACATGTTATCAATAGGTCCATGATATCAACATACATTATCATTGGTAATGTTAACCCTGGTCACTTGATTAATGTAGTGTCTGCTGGGTTTCTCCACTGTAAAATCACTATATTCTCCTTTTCATACACTATTATTTGGAAGCAAGTCACTAAGCATAGCCCACAAGCAAAATGAGGGGAATTAAGCTCCATCTTCCAGGTGGAGTAGTAGCTGCAAATATTTGCAATTCTTCTTTAAGGAAGGTTTGTCTCCTTTCCTCCATTTATTTGTTTCTCCAATCATGTCTTTATATAGTAGGGACTCGTAGATGTTTATTTTATCCTTTGAGTCATAACCAGTTTATTTTTATATATTGTCTGAGGCATTCCACCAGAATGTAAGTTCCATGAGGGAAGAGATCCCATTTGTCTTGTTCATCATTGTAACCTCAAGGCCTAAAATAATTTCTGGCACAAGATAAACATTCAATAAATATTGGTGAACAAAAGATGTAATAACATAAAACACACATTTTCATGATAACTTTTACTCACCATTCTTTATCCCTTAACTGAAAAGGGTGAAGGGGCAGGAGGAGACCAAAGAATTTTTATATGTTCAGGGGGGAAATGACAAGAAATCTTCTCTGATACTTTCACGTCAACAAATATTTTTGAGGATTTTAAGATCTTGGCAAAGAATCCTAAACAAATCTAGCCAATTGAAACCAGAAACTTAGCTTCACTGTAGCAATAACGGTAGACCAAGTCTCTTACTGAGATTTGCATTGCTCAATACAACCTATCCAGAGAATGGCACAAACACACCAACACACATAGTTCCATAATGAGCAGTTCATGTGTATCACTCATGTTTTCCTACCTTCTGCACAATATCCCATACATCCCTGAGTGGGTTGTAGGAAGTACACAAAAAATTTTCCACAGTTTCTTACAGACACTGGGATTTGAAAGAGACAGCAGTCTTTTGTAGCGCTAAACAAAAACTGCCATGTGGCACAAACTGTCAGTTGCGTAATCTCTCCAGGTGAAGGCAGTGTTTCTGAATCTCTCAGAGACAGCCAAATGGGGGCCTGCGTTCCACAGTGGTTTATCTTTTGCATCAGAGAAAACAAAAGTTGAAAACCCAATTTATTTTCATACATGGTAGATAAATCAACTTTGCATTTTCTTCTAAATAACCCTTATAACTTTAAAAAAAATCTAATAACTTGTACCTGTATTATAAAAGAAAAAGTAACTTTATGGAATACTAAATTTAAGGTAGGTTCCTCATAATTCATATAATCTTATTCGATTTAAATACCTTTATTCCATTTGTTATTGTAAACCAAAGAAATTCAATATTAGGTAACTTACTAAAATAGCTGATACATTCTAAGACAAGATGAGTCAATTTGAAGTCATCTTAATACATAGCACAAAGATAAACTGATCTCAGAGGTTTCTTGAAAAATTTCTGAATATAGTATACGTAAGAAGTTAATGCACAGCTCAGGAGGCATCAAAAATCATGGGAGAGGGAAAGCATTGTTCAAAATCTAGACGTAACGATTTGTTGGCAATTTGGAAAAAAATGAAGATAAAGCCTCATTTGAAGTCAATTAGCAAAATCATTTCCAGATGGAAAATGGAATTAAATAGAAAACTATCCCAGGAAAAAGAAGAAGAAACTACATATGATTTGGGAAGGACCAAGGCACTTACTAAATTCATGACCTTGGGCAAGGCACCCAACACTCTTTACTTTTGTACTAGGTGGATTGTAGTACCCACCTCACAGTGTCGTGGTGAGGTATAAATGAAATAATGTACATAACACAACCTCGACATAGCAATGACTCAATAATCATTAACCAGATTATAATTCTTAAGGTTATTATTATTATTTCCACGCTTAAAAGCAAAGGAAAAATCATAAAGGAAAAGATTGATAGTTATGATTAAATCATTTTTAAAATATAAGACAAATACGAGTAAATGATAAAATTATTTGTTAATAGCATTATATTTAATATATTGTTTATTATTATTACATTATTATATTTCTTATTTTATTTTAACCATGTAATATTATCCATTTAAAAACTTGAAGATCACAAATGGGCAAAATACACAAACATATAATTCACAGAAGAAATACAGATGCTTAATCAATACATGAGAATATTCAGTATTAGAAAGGGTATTTTTATCTACTGCCACTGGAATGAAAAATTAGCGTCGTATTTAAAAAAAAACAACCTAATTACATGTATCAAAAACCTCAAAAAGACATTAACTTTCACTGATTTTACTTACAATAATCAATCTTCCTAAATACAATAAAATATAACAATGATTTATATTCATATTTACTAATTGCAGAATTATGTATTGCTACAAAAGGCTGAATGTGCACACGTGGCAATGGTTTAAATAAATATGGTATATACATTTGACAGAATATCATTTTCAAAACCCTGTATTGAAAATAATATATTAATATTATTAATTATATTATAGAATTTTTTATTCTGATATTTTAATATTTTAATCTGATATTAGGGAATTTTTAATAATGTAGGAAAATGCTAATGCTATAACTGAAAAAGGCATGTTATGCAATTGAACGTACAGCATGAACCTTATAAAATAATATAAATAAGAGAGAACAATAGCAAAATATTAATGGTAGTATGATTGTGTAGATGCTTTATGAATAAATGTTATTCTATTACCTGCCATTTATTTTCTAAGTTTTCTATAAGATGATTACTGTTAGTATCATAAACAAAAATTTATTTAAATAGACTTGTATTGTCCTGTAGAGTAAAAGAAAATTCTATCAGTTCTTCAGTTGAATGCTCTGAAGCCTTGATTCAAGAAGGGAATGAGAGAGTGCAGGCAGGGAACACTTCCCCACGGGGCATAGAATGACCATGTGTTAGCGGACCTCCAGGAAAAGAGCCAGGAAATCAGTTCGCCTTCACATTTGCGTGAGGTTCTAGAATCAATTACAGTTAACTTAGCCAAAGGCAAAGAACACAAATATTCGAGGATGTAATGAATTTCCTCAAATTTCATTTTTAAACTCTGATTTTTTTTTAGTTTATTACAAATGAAATGTCACAAAAGTGACAAGCAAAAAAACAAAAAGGGGAAAATAAGACAGCCACAATATCACAACTTGAAATTAAACACTTCAATTTGGATATCTTTCCTGAGCTTTTTTTACATTACTTGCTTAAAAGGAAAAACTTTAAGCTTCTGCATAATTCACAAAATGTGGGTAAGCACTTAAAATGCACAGTATTTTACTGTTTGCAGGTTATTTGTGGTTAAGCATGTGAGCCCTGGAGAATGACTGCCTGTGATCAAAACTTGGCTGTTTGACCTGGTAGCTGAGTGACTGTAGGAGAGTTATGCCTAAGAATACGTATATGTGTCCTGAACTATATGATAGAAATGATCACAGACTGTTTTCTAGAGTTGTTGTAAAAATTATATAAGATATTGTAGGTAAAAACACTTGGTGGACTGCATGAGCATAATATTAACTTTTATTACGATTATTAAAGTAGGGAACATGGGAATGCTCCTTTGGATTGAATCAACCTTGATAAACAATTAAAATAATATTTCAGCATGAGAAATAAACTGGTTGTATGAAATGTGAAACAAAACCGGGTCACTTATGTCTAAGGGCTTTAAAATGGAGCTAGGAAGCTGTTAAGGAAACAGGTCTAACTCACATCCTCATTGGGTAGAACAAGAACTTTTGAATTGAGTAACGCTGCAAGAAACCTGCAGCTCGACAGGGTGATGGACTTTTGCCTCCCTCTAGCTAACCTTAGCAATCCAGTATGTTTCACCAAGATTAGCTTTCCGCTGCCAACCCCAATTAGCATTCTTTATAACGCAAATCTCCCTCCTCCGCCCTTAAAAGCCCCCACTTCTTACTCCCTAGTGGGCCACACTTTGGGTTGCTACCCAAATCTGTGAACCCCAAATTGCAATTCTTTGATTCCAAAATAAAAGCCTCTCTGCCTCTCATTTTTGCTTTCTATATTTAGGCTAACAGTTGTAACAAGATTCAATCCTCATATGAAAAAATACATAAAAAAAGGCCATGCAGTTCTTAGTGAGTTGAAATACCTCAACACATTTGGTTGGCATCTCAGCAGGTCTGTCAAAGATGAGAAATTGATACCATCCGGGAGGGAGGGAGTGGTCACATATGAGGTCTTGAATGGCTGACTGCTGGAGGTGCAATGAGTCAAAATGGACACTTCTATAAGGGCTCTGAAGAAACTGGTGTCCCCCAGGAGAGCACTCCTGAGCTAGAATGGAAAGATAGGTGTCTTTATTTGTATTTTCTTCATTAACATACTTCAATCCTCAATTAAAACTAATTCCCCAAACAAAAATAAAGCAAATAAACCTACAATTGCACATAAAAATCATCTGAAATGTCAGAGTCTCTTAGTAAATCAAAGAGGACTTAACTTGCACTTTCCATAAATACAATAAACCAATCAACAAATTCTTTTTTTTTTTTTTTTTGCTGAGGAAGATTAGCCCTGAGCTAACATCCGTGCCCATCTTCCTCCACTTTCTATGGGACTGCACCACAGCATGGCTTGCTGAGCCTTGCATCAGTGTGCAGCCGGGATCCAAACCTGTGAACCCTCAGCCGTGGAAGAAGAACACGCGCACTTAACCGCTGTGCCACCAGGCCAGCCCTCAACAAATTCTTTAGAATGTATTTTTGAGGTACTTAAGCTTCAAGAACTTTATTTTCATTTGATTTGGACAAGCAATATTACTGATCACTGTTGAGTCATGATTTGTTTAGTTCTACCATCTAAAGTCACAGGCCCCACAAGGATTCCTCTTGAGAAGTGTCCTCCAGATTTGAATGCCATTATTGACCTTCCATGACCTGCTTTCTTCCGCAGCTGCCAAGTGACCCCAAATCTCATCTCTGCCAGGTCCTGGAATGCAACAAGCTAAACAAATCTTTTCATTCCAATCTAATTTTTGTAAAATGCCCTCCTGCTGAAGTTTCCCGCATTCTTCAGTGCAGGGAAAAATATAAAGTTTTCAAAGTTTTTTCTTTTTTTAAAAAATAAAGTATTGAAGTCCCTTTTTATTACTAAGCAGAGGAAAAGGAATGAGGTAGAGGGGAATAGTTTATAAGGAGAAATAAGAAAAGACCATGGAGAAAGCAAGAGTTCTGTAGGTTTAGAAAGAGTTTCTGGAAAAAGGAACCCATTTCCTGAGCAGCAGTTGGCCTGGAAGATACTTTTTCTGTCAAATCCAAATAGGCAGAACATAAAGCTCCTCTTCTCAGCATGAAGAAAGCAGAGAAGAGGAGGCAATGAAAACAGTTGTCCTAGAAATACAGCTCTTGTTTGAGGCTTCTGTACTCCGAAATAATAAGAAACATAAGGAACTGTCCTTATATGGGTATCAAAGTATCTGTTGACACAGTAGGTAGAAAATCTCAGAATATTAGATGTTATATTTATTGAAGGAAAACAAGTATAATAAAGATAATATCTATGAACTAGAAATGCAAAAGAAAAAAATTCAATCCTTGCTAAAGTAACTCACTGTGGAAAAAAATGATCTGACTGAACAAAATCCTCAAAAATTTATTACATAATTTTAGGTTACAGAAGTGTTTATAAACCAAAATCAATTTCTGAACTTAAATTAATAAGAAGCACAATAGAGATATTAACTTGTAAGTTGATCTCACAAGTGTAGCTTACAAAAATTGTCACTATGATTTTTTTTTTGCTTTTTATTTTGTTGTTTGCAGTTATAGCAATTAAACTGTACAAAAGGTATTGTTTTGCAAGATAAAAGATCTCCCTAAAGAATATTTTTTTAGTAAAAGATTTTAGGAGTGACCACAAAAGGTTCTTCTTCCTTTTGTCTCTTGTTCAACCAGTTTTAAATTTCTCAAGAAGAATTTAACCCAAAAGGCTCTTGTGACTTGGATGATCTCAGTCTGTCAACACTGAGAAATATCTTATAAAATGTGTGTGGATAGAAATCAGGTGACATGATATCATTTCATCTAATTTGAAATAATTCTAAGATTCTGTCAATATCAGAATATTGCATCTGATTAGAAACTAAGGAAAATATTTAAAAAGAGATTACTTGTGAGGTGTGCACGAATTATTGAAATGTTTTCTCTGATCTCCTCCCTGAAATAGAATTTTGTCTTGGGAAAAAAGTCAACAACTCCATCTTTACTCTGTGCAGTATTTCTCTTTCCTAAATGCTTCTGTAGTTCTCACACTTCCTCTGATTTTGCTGCTTAGAATAACTGTTTTCTAATCCAAAACTAAAGATGTAATAAATGTAGCAAACAGTGACATCAACAATACTAAAGAAGTGCATAATATTTAAACAGAAATTTTTATTTAGTTTATTTTTGTTTAATATTTATTTTAGAGGAAAATTTTTAATTATATATATAATTAAATCATATAATTAATAATAGCTCCTATTTTGTATCAATTATTTCACAAATTTTTTCCAAAAATCTACTTGTCTCTTTTAAAATAGTCAAGGTTTAGGGCCGACCCCGTGGCTTGGCAGTTAAGTGTGCACACTCTGCTGCTGGCGGCCGGAGTTCGGATCCCAGGTGCTCACCGACGTGCTGCTTCTCCAGCCATGCTGAGGCCGCGTCCCACATACAGCAACTGCAAGGATGTGCAGCTATGACATACAACTATCTACTGGGGCTTTGGGGGAAAAATAAAATAAATAAAATTTAAAGTAAATAAATAAATAAAATAAAATAGTCGAGGTCTATGTAGAAAACTTTAAAATTTAATTAGCAATGAACAGGCTATACTTTTAAAAACTTCATTACAACCTTAACTCTAGAATGTACCATATAGTTAACTAAGTTGAGAACCATAAGGACGGTTTGGGCTCCCATTTGTGAATTTGGGGGCTTAGCTCCTCCAATACTAAAAGAATAGCTCTACAAGCCCATTTCACCCATCAGTCAACTTCATGATATGAATGATGTGCAGAGCTTTCTAGCAAATTTCCAATGTAAGTTTTTCCCTCAAAGCAAAGGTACATATAAAATGTACATTAAAATTTACATTTCTATTTCTTCTGTCTTCTTCCCAATAGAATTTAAAGAAGCTAGATAATATATAATAGAATCTGCAATACTTGGATTTCAAATACTTTGGGACAATATGTCAAATTATAAATTATATATATATAAATTATATACATAATAATAGAATATGAAAACGGTTTCCTAGTTTTGTTTGTATATAAAGTAACCCGTATTAGATTGTTTTCTTGTTTAATACAATGACCAAGACTACAATTCTTTAAGATTCATAATTGGTTGACAAACAAATATGTTAAGACACTAAATAAATCATTGTGTTTTTAAAAAATGAATGTGCATAATGCCTGAAGACAGGTACTTCATAATATCTAATTTGTGATTATAAAACATTTGGTATATTGCTCTATGGGAATTTCAAATATTTGTGAATTTTTAAAAATCGTATAACTTCCCCAAGATATGGGAAAGAGAAAAACCAACTTTGAGCTCCAAATTCAATGAGAAATAAAAAGTTAATAATTTAGCTTCTGACATTCAAAATAGGATTATGGGTTCTGCAACAACACAAAGGCGAAAAGCAAGGTAAAATAGAGAGTGATTAGTTTGCTAAATCTATTTACGTTGCCCTCCTTTATACATCAAGAGGCAAAAACTGAATGCCCCTTGAAAAGAATACAAATGATTGAAAGTAAAAGGATAAAAAATGACATATCGTGCAAACAGAAACCACAAGAAACCTAGATTGGCTACACTAATATTAGACAAAAAGAACTTAAAACAAAAAATGTTACCAGAGATAAGGAGGGACATTTTATAATGATAAAAGTTTCAATCCACAAGGAAGATATTCAATTATAAACATATATACACCTAATAACAGAGCACCAAAATACATTAAGCAAAATCCAACGGAAATGAAGGGAAAAAATACACACTTCAACATCAGTAGTTGGAGAATTCAATGCTCTACTATTAATATGAATAGACAAATAGGCAGAAGATCAACAAGGAAATAGAAACTAGAACAACACTAAACCTAGTTGACCTAACAGACATCTATAGAACACTTCTCCCAACAACAGCAGAATACCAATTCTCCTGAAGTGCGCATGGAACATTCACCAGGATAGATCATACACTAGACCATAAAACAAAACTAAATAAATCTTAAAAGAAGGAAATCAAACAAAGTATGTTCTCTGACCACAGTCGAGTTAAATTATAAATCAATAACAGAAAGAAATTTATAAATATACAGAAATTAAAGCTAGATAAACAATGCTTCAAAGAAGAAATGAAAAGGGAAATGAGAAAATACTTTGAGAAGAATTAAAGATACAACATACCAAAATTTATGGAATATTGCTGAAGTAGTGTTTAGAGGGAAATTTATGGATATAAATGACTATATTAGAAAATAAAAATGTCTCAATATAATAAACTAACCTTGTACCTATAGAATTTGGATAAAGAAGAGCATACTAAATCTAAAGGAAGTAGAAGGAAGGCAATGTTAAAGATTAAAGAGGGAGTTAATAAAATCAAAAATAGAAAAACAATAAGGAAAAATCAATAAAACCAAAAGCTGATTCTTTGAAAAAAATCAACAAAATTAGCATATCTCTAATTAGATTTACTGAGAAAAAAAGAGAGAAGACTAAAATTGCTAGAACCAGAAATGAAATAGGAGCCACCATTACAGATCATAAGGGATACTATTACAGTTGTATGCCAATAAATTAGATAACTTAGATGAGATTGTCAAATTCCTGAAAAGACACAAACTACAAAACTGACTCAGTAACCTAAAAAAACACCTGTGAAGAAAAGGCCACTTCCAGATGACCACAATGCTGAATTCTACCAAACATTTGAAGAATAATACCAATTCTTCACAGACACTTCCAAAAAATAGAAAAGAAAGGAACACTTCCAGACTCATTCTATGAGGCCTGTATTACCCTGATACCAAAGCCGCAAAAAGATATCACAAGAAAAGAAGACTATAGACCAATATATCTTTTGAATATGGATGCAAAAATCCTCAGCAAACTACTAGTAAATGAATCCAGAAACATAGACAAAGAATTATAAACCATGACCAAGTGGGATTTATTTCAGGAATGCAAGGTTGGTTTTAACATCCAAAAAGAAATTAATGTAATACACAATGTTAATAAAATAAAAACCAAGATCCACATGTGCATCTCAATAGAAGATGGAAAAAGCATTTGAAAAAATCTAACATCCTTTTATGACAAAAACACTCAACAAACTAGGAATACAGGGGAACTTCCTCAACCTGATTCCAAAGAGAATCTACAAATCAACCCCACAGCTTACATTATACTTACTGAAGAAAAATAGGATTCTTTCTCATAAGATCAGGAATAAGACAATGATGTCCCCTCTTACCACTTCTATTCAGCATTGTACTCTAGGTTCTAGTCAGGACAACTAGGCAAGACAAATAAATTAAAGGTATCCATATTGGAAAGGAAGAACTAAAACTATCTTTTATCCCAGAAGACACGATCTTGTATGTGGAGAATTCTAAAGAATCCATTACCAAATAAATAAATAAATAAATAAATAAACTATTAGAGCTAATGAACAAGTTCAGTAACGTTTCAGGATACAAAATCAGTATACAAAAATTAATTATATTATTACACAAATGCAACAAGTAGTCTGAAAATGAAATTAAGAAAACAATTCCATTTCCAAGAGGTTCAAAAGAACAAAATACGTAGGGGTAAATTTAACAAAAGAAGTGCAAAACTTATATTCTGAACATCACAAAACGTTGCTGAAAGAAACAACAGATCTATATAAATGAAAATATATCCATGTTCATGTATCAGAAGACTTAACGTTGCCAAGATGGCAATACTCCCCAAATTGATATGCAGATTCATTGCAATCTCTATCAGAATACCAGCTTAGTCCTTTGTAGAAATGAACAAACTAATCCTGAAATTCATATGAAATTTCAATGGACCCAGAATAGCTAAAACAATCTTGAAAAAGAACAAAATAGGAGGACTCACATTTTTCCATTTCGAAATTTACTACAAAGCAACAGTAATCAAGACACTGTGGTGCTGGTTTAAGGATAGACATATAGATCTAGGGATAGAATTGAGAGTCCAGAAATAAATCCATGTATTTATGCTTTTCAACTGAGTGTTGACAAGGCTGTCAAGACAATTCAATAGGGAAAGGACAGTCTTTTCAACAAATGGTGTTGGGAAAACTGAATATTCACACACAAAAGAATGAAGTTGGACCCTTACCTTACACCATACCCAAAAATTAACTCAAAATGGATCAAAGACCAAAATACAAGAGCTGAATCTATAAAAATCTTTTAAAAACTTGGGGTAATCTTCACTTTAGATTCGGGAATGGATTCCAAGATATGACAACAAAAGCACAAGCAACAAAAGAAAAGATACATAAATTGGACTTCAGTAAAATTAAAAACTTCTGTGCTTCAAAGGACACGATCAAGAAAGTGAATGGGAGAAATAATTGCAGACCACATATCTGATAAGAGAATTGTATCTAGAATATACAAATAACTCATACACTCATACATAAAAAAAGGCCAACCCAATTAAAAAATTGGCAAAGGATCTGAGTAGGTATTTCTTCAAAGAAGATATACGTGTCCAATAAATACATGAAAATATGCTTGACATCACTAGCCACTAGGGAAATGCAAATCAAACCACAATGAGATGTCACGGCACACCCACCAGGATGGCTAGAATCAAAATCTCAAATATAAATAACAAGTGTTGACGAGGATGTGGATAATTTGGAACCCGCATCCAGCACTGCGGGAATATAAAACAGTGTAGCCCTTTGGAAAATATTCTGGCTGTTCGTCAAGCGGTTAAACATAGAGTTACCTTATGACCCAATAACTCCACTGCTAGGTATATGCCTAAGAGAAATAAAAACACGTGCCCACACAAAAACTTGTACCTGGATGTTTATAGCAGCATTATTTATAATAACCAAGATGTTAGTCACAAAAGACAATCTATTATACGATTCCATTTATATAAAATATCCAGAATAGACAAATCTATGAGCAGAAAGTAGATGAGTGACTGCTTACAGTTGGGAGGGTGGGATGGTGAAGGAGGATATACGGGGAAGATAGCTAGAATATGGTATTTCTTTTTGAGGTAATAAAAATGTTCTAAAATTGACTGTAGTAATGGATGCACATATTTGTGAATAACAAAAAACTATAGACCATTGTGCACTGTAATAAAACACTGTACACAGTAAATGAGTGATTTGTATGGTATATGAACTATACCTTAATAAAGCTGTTTGAAAAAAAGGCATATCATCCATTTATCTCCCCAATTATCTCTACTCTATTAAACGTAAAGAAGCTATCAACTTGACCATAATATGAACTTAGAATCTGGTAAGGGTTAATATTTGCCTTCAGTAGAGAGACTACAAGGCTATTACACAGAGGCAAGAAGGGGTTGTGAGATCTATAGTAAACATTGAAGAAAATTCCTTCATAAATATTGGTCATTTTTCTGGAAGGATGTTATCTAACTGTAATAAGTGCATATCTAATATATTACATGTATTTTTAACAGTTCTTCATGAAGATCTAGTAAATGTGTAAGCAAAGAAGGCACAGACCAATGATACCTTGTTAAGGTGTATCATTTCAGGAAATACCTTAATTGGGTTCTAGTATTCTTTTTGCAGTTTTACCTGGGAGAGTGCTTGCTCCCTCTCCCTTTTCTACAGAGCAAACTTACCTTAGTAAAATAGATTAAGATCAACAAGATGATGAGGAGACAAAATTATACTCTAAACAGTTATAAATGTTGCACATAATTTTTTTTTCAAGCTGCAGGTAGTTTTACACAGATCAGATTTATTTCTGAAAAGCATAAGGAAACTTACAATATAAGAACAAGTCACCTTTCATTTAATGTTCCTATCTGTATCAACACAAAAACAATCAGGAAGGGCTAATGGATGTTGTTTTGTTTTAACTTTCACTGTATTTTAAACTATGTTTTCTTTGTCGTGGATTAAAATGGAGGGGGCCCTATTCTCCCCATAGAAATCTCTTTTACGGTAGCAAAACTGATTCTAAAGATTACGAAAAATATCATACACAAAACTTAACTCACTAATTTATTGTAGGGATAAAATGTTCATCAATTTATTATTTCCGGGGCTAGGTGGGAGTAGGGTAGAAATCGTGCAGTTTGGAACTGTGCTCTTTTCGCATAATTCGGATCCACTTGCCGCTAGGATATCTGGCAGATTCAGCAAAAGTTTCTTACAGTAAATTAAAGGGACCTGAAGGAGCGGGACATTAGCAGGAAACAAAGGAACAAAAATAGGATCGAGGGTCTTGGAACAAGAGAGGAGGAGGCAACAACCGCCTGTGCGCAAAGGAAAATGGGGGATCAACGAGGCTGTAAAGGGATCATTTCAAAAACGGCCGTAGGACAGGGTGGGGATCGGTGAGGGACAAATATCAAATGCGACCATAAAGATGCACAAGGACTCTCCACGTGTCATCCGGGAAGTCAGTCCCCCTTTCCCAAAGGCCCGAGCGGCGCCCCTGCGCTCTCATCCGCCAGCGCCCTACCTGGCCGACCTTCCCCCGGGGCCAGGAGCGTCAGTGACAGCGCCGGTACCCAGACTCCGCCAGGCATCGCTGCTGCCGAGGGTGGGGACGAAGGCATCGCAGAGCCCCGGCCGTGGGTGCAGGGAGGATGGGGCCCGCAGCCCCTCAGCCCTCCTGTCACAGGACTTGCTCAGTCTGTGCCTGCTCGGCCTTCTGAGTCGCCACGCGTCCTCCCTCTGGGGCGCAGCTGTCCTTTCCATGGATAGCTGCGCGAGCCTGGTGACTCCTCCCTCCTCGCCCCCCGCCTGCCCGCCTGCAGGAAAGTCACGCCCAACCTGTCCCAGGAGACCAGCGTGCCCCCTGCCATCCCGGCTGTGGCTCCACCACTTTGGATGTCAACAGCAGTGGCACATCCAGGGGACGAGCTCCAGGGACATACCTTGGCACGTCGACTCTCGCTGTCCTGACAAATGGTTTAGGAAAATTTAGTAATCCTAGAAACTGTTCAGATGGACCTCGAATAAAAGAAGCCTTGCAAGGTTCTGTTGGAAAGGGCAGTGTCCCTAATTATACCTGCAGATGGATTCTTAGCCTGGTAATTGGGGGTGCTGGTTTACACCCAAAGGCTCATATGCTTCTCAGAAGTTGCTCCTGTCGCCTTAGGTCTCAGTGATGAACAATGAGAGGAAAGATGAGTGTTCCAACAGTAGTAGCTCTCTTCCTCTGCCTCTGTGACAAGTTTTCAGAAGTGGAAGGGAGGGCATTTAGATATTTTCCAAATGTGTGGGGTCAGTCCTCAGGTATTTGCTGGTGATTCCCAGAGCTCTCTCAGTTGTCCAGTGGTGACCTAGTGACTCAGGATCCTCCAGCACATGGCCACATGACTCCCAAGTTTAACCTGCCCATGGTCTCCAAACTGAAGTTGTCTTCAGAGGTGGGGTTGCCTCTGCAGAGGGAGTGCCCCCATCTCTTTGTTTTTTCTTAACTGATTCTGCATCTTTTTATGTTATTAAATGAAACCTCACTCTCTCAGTTTTTCTCTGGCCATCTCAGTTCTTGAGTTCCCTTATCCATCACCTGGGACTTTGCTCTCAGAGCCTGTACCTGAGGGGAAAGAAGACATTGGTCAACAGAAGGTAGTCCTGGGGTCCTGCTGGGCACCAGGGTTTAGGCCACATTTCCACCTATAGTTTTGGAGGATTGAGGCTTGGACAAGGCATGGCGATAAAGACAGGAGGTGCCCAAATGCAAGAGAAGTTCTTTTAAAACTAGTTTGTATTTTTTTTATTTGAAAGAGAAATTACCACTTAAAAGTTTAAAACCTGTTTCCAAAAGTATAAGTATTAACTTATCTTGGAAAAAGTTTTCTTTGCAGTGCACAAGACTTTTGTTTAGCCCCCTTTTACATGCAGAGAAGGCACCCAATTTTCTAGGACAAAATGAAAGATAAATTTTTGGTGGGGGTAGGCAGACGATTTTCATCTTAAAGCGTAATTCTGGAAGAACAATTAAATGTGAGCAGGATGAAAATCCAGAGATTTTTTAGTGTATGCCTTTTGTTGTAGTTTATAAAGCCCTAGTAAAATTGGAACAGAAAAATAAACATCAATTTTCTCAGTCTATTTGTGAAATCATCAGGAATAAAGTAACTGTTATAATCAGGATTAAGCCATAACAGGATTTTTGTAAATTTATTGTCCAGCAAAATCTGCAGAAATGCAATTGACATATACTTTTTGGAGGACGACATCACTTACCTAACTTCCAACAAACCCGGAGCATACAATTTAAAGAATAGCGGGTCTCATTTTTCCTTCAGTTTTGTTTGATGAATACCAGTTTGTGAGTTTACAATAGATTTGTTACAAAGAACAAATTTTCCTCCATATAGGTGAGTTAAGATGGAAAAAAAAAAAAAACTGAAAACAACTTAAGAAATTGTTTTTCAAATCTCAATGGAAAATTTATCTAAACTGCCTTGGGTCTGCAAGAATATAAGAATAAAAAGTAGTTACAGGACTGTGCGAAAACCAAAAAGTAATAAAAATGACGTTTTAACATTTTGATGAACCTAGTGAGGTTCATCAAAAATTGGTATAAGATTCTGGGCCGGCCCCATGGCTTAGCGGTTAAGTGCACGTACTCTGCTGCTGGGGCCCGGGTTCGGATCCCGGGCGCGCACGGACACACTGCCTCTCCGGCCATGCTGAGGCCACATCCCACATACGGCAGCTGGAAGGATGTGCAGCTATGACATACAACTATCTA